ATCTAGAGTTAATGGGCCTTAAATAGAGGCTAGAAACCAACTTTAACCCAAAAGCTTAAGCTATTAGGTATTTGCACCAACTCCTATTTAAACACGTTATTTGCACCAACTCCTATTTAAACACGTTACTTTTTCTCATGTTTTCCAATGTGGGATTATACTCACACATGAATGTCCCAACATGTGTCTGTCTGCAATTAATCCAAAAGAAAAGTATAAACAGATTGATTACTCACCATAGTGCCTTTAACTTGAGTGGTAACATGAGTCTTATTATCATCCCCCATGGGTTTGGATAGACCGAAATCGGAGACTTTTGCATTCAAAACATCATCTAAGAGGATGTTGCTTGATTTGATGTCTCTATGTATTATCGGAGGGTCTGCAAGCTCATGAAGATAAGCAAGACCTCGAGCTGTGCCTAATGCAACTCTAAGTCTTCTTTTCCAGTCTAGATGGATTCCAGATTTACCTGCAAGTAATAATTTAGAAAAAAAAAATTATAGACAGAGAATAAACTTTTAGTTAGAAATATATGCAAACTGAGAATACCTGATAGACTTTCTTTCAGTGAACCATTCGGAATATATTCATAAACAAGCATTTGTTCTCCTTGCTCGAAACAAAATCCAATAAGACTGACAAGGTTCTTATGGTGAACTCTACTCAGCAATTCAATCTCAGTTTTAAATTCAAGACCTCCTTGCGTAGATCCCTGCTGAGCTCTTTTTACTGCTATCAGTTGCCCATTGCTAAGGGTCCCTCTATACACCTGAAAAGATTTGGTTCCTGTCACTGTTCAGTACATTAAAGCAAAATTTCATAGATTTATCTGATCAGCTTTGAGAGCAGGTTTACTACAGAATGTCTGTTGAATCGTACCCAAATTCAGTACCTTCATGAATGAAAAATTGTGTTACTTGTCAAACCTAGGAGTGAGCGCAACTGGTTGAACTAGAAGTATAGCTGAATTCAATCAATCTGAGAGTGGACTGTATATCATTATTCATCATGATCTATGCACAACCTTCACTACGTTTTAAAACATAAGAAACACCTATTTATGTTATTTGCAGGGAAATTGAGAAAAATAATCAAGTCCAAGTGTTAATGCTGTGATGTTAGGATATCATGCAAGTATAGTGTGCACCATATATTAGTATTTTTACCCTTTCATAATAATTTTCTACATGAACACAAAACATTTGTGTGAAATTTTTTATTACTATTACAATGTTGCTTCCATTTGCATGGTATCAGTTTTTTCCTATTGTCTATGTTAAACTGATATCTCCCATAGATGGTATATATTATGTTGAAGCTTAGGGGGGGTTATTGGTTGGAATATTTTGGGGGATAATGGGATAATTTTGGGGATTCTATTTCATAGTGTTATTCATTGGGACAATGGAACAAGGATAATACCTTTTTGTGTTATTGGTTTTTTGGAACACTAGTGAGACAATTACACCACTTGGGATAAAATTACCCCACTCATATACAAAAATTTTGTCTCAATAGTAAAAATTTACCCCATCCTTCATATTGGAACAATGTTGTTCCACTTTAAAGGCAATTGGGATAATTTTAAAATATTTTTGTATTACTTAACTAATACATGCAATTATATTATACATATATGACATGATATATAAAATAGAGTGGTGTTAGGGGCACACCCCCAACCACACCCTCCACCACACCTCCTCTCCCTCTATAGTGCATTGGGCCCCACATCAAATTTTTAAAAAAAAATTGATGTGAGGCCCAATGCACTATAGAGGGAGAGGAGGTGTGGTTGAGATTGTGGTTGGGGGTTGTGCCCTGCTAACATTTCTATATATATAACATATATTAATATTTTAATGACATAATTTAATAACATATATTAATAATATTATGTAATAGATTATTATATAATATTAATTAGTAATTATAGTATAACGTATTTATTATAATATTATATAATATTTTAGTAACATATATTAATATTTAATAACATAATTTAATAACATATATATTAATAATATTATATATAACATTTATTAATATTTTTAATAACATATATTAATAGATTTATGTAACATATTATTATATAATATTAATTAGTAATTATAGTATAACGCATTTATTATAATATTATATAATATTTTAATAACATATATAATTAATTTATAAAATATTATTATAGTTATTATATATATGACATACTATTATAATATAATATAATAATTACTAATATTATGATATAATATAATATAATACTATAGTTTGAAATAATATAATATATTAACTATAACATGATACCTTTTAATATATATTATTGTAATTATCATGTAATATATATATATATATATATATATATATATATATATATATATATATATATATATATATTTATGTTTATATTCTATTTTAATTTTTAATATAAAATTTAAAAATATTACATTGAATAAAATAAAAATATATAATATTTATAAAGTACATTATATCCTAAGAGACTATATTATAATATATTAAATTAAATAATATATTATTAAAGTATTATATTATATATATTATTCATATATTATATTAATTATTATATAATGTAGCATACTAATATAATGTTAATTAGTAATTATTGTATAACATATTATATTTTTGTATAAATAAAATAATGTATTATTTATTATATTATTATATTATTAAAATATTATATTAAATATATTGATATTATATTATATTAATTATTATATATAGTATATCATGCTAATATAATATAATATAATACAATATAATAATTAATAATACTAATTTATAAGTTAGTACAATATATTATATTTTAATATAAAATAAAATAATATTTATATTATAATAATATACTAAATAATATACTAAATCAATTGGATAAGTTAATTTAGAAGTAATTAATAGATAAAATTATATTTTAATAAGGTGCCACATCATCAATTATCCCACATGAATTGTCAAATCAAAGGCTCAAATTATCCCATTATCCCACTTTATCTCACTTTACCCTACTCAAAATATCCCAAAAGGGTAAATTTGTTCCATTGGAACAATTTTCACACTTAGCCCCAATTTGTCCCAACCAATAACCCCCCAAGTAAAAGGGAGGCAATTCTCAGTAGGGGAAAAAAACAAAAAGAATTACCTTCCCATAGCCACCACATCCAATGTCATTAGCTCCTGAAAAGTCGTTGGTGCATTTCTTTATTTCTTCAAAAGAAAACCATCTTGCTCCCTTTAGCTGAGGAGCAGCGCCGATGTTTCTCGAAGGTTCCCAGGATTCTACAAGTAAAAATTATATCGCTAAACTGAACAGGAAAGACCATGAAAAAAACATTGACAATAGAACAATGTAGATTAATTTTGGTATATTACCAAAAGGTTGGGTCTGTTCCCTATACTTCTCAGATTTCTTCTTCTTTCTAACAACAAAAACAGCAATAACTGCCATTATCATTACAAGAACTGCTACACCAACTGCTGCTCCAATTATCGCAGTTGTGTTACTTGATTTTTTCGGGCTGGAGGATGGTACAGCTGTGAAATAAATGTGCCAATAAGAAAAACCTTACTGAAAAATTAGAGTTTTTGAGTGCATCTGAAATTAACTACATTACCTCGAAAAGCACTATATTGTTCTGCCATGAAATAAAATGGCCCGAAAATGCTTGGAGGTTTGAAAGTTTGATTACTGAGAATAAAACCAAGGTTGAGGATATCTAACTGATCGAAACGGTCTACTCCAGCTGGAAAGACCTCCAGAATGATATTCAGGTAGTTATTAGAATCTGTAGAGGGATCCTTAAGGGAAACCGAGTCTATAGGAAGTTGTCTTTTCATAAATGAAGTTCTCAGACTTGCTTCTAGACTTTGATAATATGTTATATTCTCCAGATCTGAAAATTTAGGAGCCCTGAAAAATAGAGTGCCGCTATATGGATATGCACATTTGCATTTAGGACTTAAATCTTGGCCTGAAGGACAGACGAAAGGCACACAGTTCTTTGGTGTGGAATAGGAAGGAGCTAATTTTTTCAGAGGTTTGCAGTACAGGAAATCTGGTCCATTTTCAGTACAGAATGGATTACCCATAAGTCTGCAAGTAAACCAAAATTGAAAAGTGGAAGGTATCAGAGATATCATGTTAGATAATAACAGATAGCCTAGTAATTGCCAAGAGAACAAGTCCTTTTCTGAACTAAATATTCAGTTCAAATTTTATTTTATTGATACGAGATGAGGTTCTTACAATAAACCCTTCTTGTATCCTCCAACTGTAACCTGATCAATAAGATTGTTCCTCAAATCAACAAGTTGAAGTTCATTGCTGAAGCCAGAGCCGATATTTAGAGTGCCATTAAAATGGTTGGCCCGTAAATTCCTGCATCATCAGAATATATTATAATGGAGAAGAAGATTGTGATATCATCAGTTGCTTGGTTAAGAATAAATTTAGAGTTCAGTATGTTACTGTAATTTATATTTGGCTTTTGTGCATGTGTTGTTCTTTTTCTTTTCCCTTCTTTTTTTCTCTTTTACTTTTTATCTCTTTTATTTATTTATTTTTTGGGGGGGGGAGGGAATGGTTTATGATTATTACTTACACAGACTGCAATGGTGAAGAACTGAATAACTCCTCTGGAACCTGCCCCCCAATCCTTAAATTTTCTAAATACCTGCAGTGTAATTGGTATTAATATTTTGAGAGAGAAAAATTATTGGATAAAGTATCTAAAGGGAAGACATACTAAAACTTTTAGTTTGAATTTTTCTTTAAAGTTTTATTGGCAAGACCAATACCATGAAATGAGAAACCTTACAATGTTGTCAATGAAGGCAATGTGGAGAACCACGGAGGAGCATCTGGTGCATCAAAGGTGTTGTTGCTCATGTCCCTGTACAGCGCTTCTCTATTCAGTGGAGAACCAACATAAACATATTTATATTCCATTGAGAATTGTGTATGATTTAAACCGCCCACTTCGATTTCCCACTGGCTGCTTTAGAATTTGAACTGCAAGTTCTATATAACTTCAAACTTGATAAATACTTATACATCTACAAGTAGTGATACTTACAGGTAAGCAAGCGCATTCATCCCAGTTAAGTTTGGCAGGGGTCCTGTCAGCTTGTTGTTGGACAGATGCCTGAAATGGATACACACAATATCTGACATCACAAGTACGTTTTATTAAAACAAAAGAAGAAAATTAAATCAAAGATACTAACAACTCAGCAACTTTTGTGAGGTTGTTGATGTTGGTAGGAACAGGCCCAGTTAAGGAATTACGGTCCAAGCGCCTGTCAAAATATGTATACTTCAGTGTAATATAGGTAGCTTATATGATATGTATTCAACTGTCCATTTATGACTTTAGATACTTACACAACCTCCAAAGCTTTTACAAGTCCTAGTGTTGATGGGATGCTTCCAGTCAGCTTATTGTCATCAAAAAGCCTGATGAATTGAAGAAGGAAAATAAAAAAAAAGCTTCCTTAGTACAAAAGAAATTTGGGTTCCCAGAAACTTACACATGTATTAGAATCATGTCTGAGCTGAAAAGTTTACTTGAGATCTCACCGGAAAGTTGGTTCATACCAAAATGGCTGTAATTCAATTAAACGCATGAGATCATTAAGGTTGCCTTAAATTAAGAAATATTAGAACAAGTGAAAATGACACATACAAGTGTTTGGTATGAGTTAATAAATCAAGACCAGGAGTTGTGCCATTGGATACAGGGATTGTTCCTGAAAGCTGGTTATCTGCCAAATCTAGCCAATAAAGGTTTGATAGATTACCGATGGTTGCAGGTATACTTCCAGTAAAGCGATTAGAGTTCAAAGAGCTGCATACGTCAATGGCAGATGATCAGTAACATGACAAAGAAATGGAATTGTCTAATGAAGAAGAAAGCAAGAAGATTATGCTGTATCATTATTCTTCCTTCAAGAATATGGATGTGATTTGCAGAAGATCTCTTTATTGATGAGAGAAATAGAGAAGCAGATAGAGAGAAATTTAGGTAGTTTTTTTTTGGAAAATCAACCACTACTAGATGCCAGTTACATTTTGCAATCGTTAAAATCATGTTCTAGACTAGTATAATGGATGATAACTCTTTAACAGCACACAGGACAAAACAAAGTATAATTTTTCTGTACTTCATGGAAAAATTAACTTCAATTTTCATAGAAGGTAAGAAATACAAAGTAAAGTATGTGCTGGTTAACAATTGTGTTTTAAGTTTTGGCAGATAGAAGCAGTGGTCAAATGACTCAAAACCAGTTCAATGAAATAAAATTCAACAATAACAGACTAAGATAGCCATGCTAGCCACATAAAGGTAATATATGACCTAGGCAACAAAAAACAATTTGTAGGTTACATTTAAAACAAGGCAATAGCATTTATAACACTGTCGTTTTCAGTACACAGCTAGCGAAAAAAGAAAAAGCTTCAGAGTTCATTAAATCTTACAGAAAAACAAGATTTTTCAGAGAGCCTATTTCAGGTGGTATTTCACCAGAAAAACTGCAACCAACAAGGATCCTGGTGTAGACAATAACATCAGTTTTGTGAGAAAATTCTGAAACTCGAGAGAAAATCTCAATAACCAGGTCTTGCTTACAAGTTCTGAAGTTTAATCAGACTGCCAATTGATGCTGGAAGTCCTCCAGTTAAACCCTTGTTATAAGACAGATCCCTGCATAAGTTGGAATTAACTGTTATATGTCAAGAAAATAATGCATTATTTTCGACGGGAAGTTTTTGAAATATTTTATTAGGTGCATTAAATCAATAATAAGACAAGGCAGAGAAATCAAGCAACTTACAGAGCCTGTAACTCTGTCAATGACTGAATATCTCCAGAAAGTGTGCCTTCAAGGCCCAAACTCGAAAGCGTTCTGATACATTTTTTTAATAAATCAGTTGTGATTGTAGTTAAACACAGAAATACCTCAAAATTTTGAGAGGAACTGTCAGATTGCTCACATTGAGGTTATACGAGAGTCTGTGCATCTAATCCCAATCCAACTATCGCCACAAGGATCAAGACCTACCCAGTTTGATGGCTTGTTCTTCCACAGATTCCCCAAGGAAGTGAGAGCAACAGCTAGACAAGGGAAAAAAGAAGCGAGAAAATTATCATTAAAGGTCAGAATATTCATTTTTCTTATCTTGTACTATACTATCCATTTTCAAGGTTTGGGCTTATCAAAATTATTGACAAAGGTTTAGAGAAAAGGAATATTTTCACTTGGAACTTCAAATATCATCTTAGTTTCTATAGCAAAACGTTCATTTAGGTGAGTAGTACTTTTGAAGTATCACTTTGTCTTTATTTAGAGAAGTAAACGTGAAAAGTTCATTCAGAACTTTATGATGCACATGAATGGGGACTTAGAGAGATTCTTGACCGTTAGAAGCTTTTAATCCTGGAATAACTTGAAGAATTTTTTAAGAACAAGCTTGACTGGCAAAAAAAGACTTACACATGGATTAGGTGTTATATATCTCAACTGACTTCCCCCAATTAGGAAATAGATTAGAATTCTTTCCATTCAAGGCAGTTATATGCATTTCATGTGAATAGAATAAAGCTTTAAGAGACAAAACACCTTGAAGTGGCAATTCTAATTCTCAATCTTTCAGGTCCCACAAGAGTTCATTGTTAGCTTGTAATCAGCAAAGTTGGAATGAACAGCAAAGGACCAAGACAAGTTTTAATAGTTATGGATTCTTCTATTTACTGTAATCATGTGATACCATAGTCGCATCAACTATACATGTCAAGTGAGATTCTATGAAAATTTAAGAGCTACCATCATTTTCCCATAATCTAAAACAAGAAGCAGACTACTGAATTTCATTGATAACCTGAATCATCAGTCATCATACTCAAAATTTCAACATACACATATAAAATACAAGAAGATCAGACAACGACTACTAGAATAAAAATAGAGAATGAATTTAGAGTATACCATCTTTAGGGTCTGTATCAGCTGAAATGAACATAATCTGGAGGAGAAGGCTCAGCAAGCACGTGCTGCATATTTTCCTCAACCAAATCCAATTTCTGTATACACAGAAACTTGGTAAATCCACCATTTTCGGTAGTAAAAATCTTCAAAGCCTGTGAAAAATTCTGTCAGCGAGTTCTCAGTCTAGTTTCTTGCTTGAGATTCACTGGAAGTCAGAAAATACATCATACCTAAACTTCATTCTATCAATCCATTTTCATGTATCAAGAAAATAAACTACCAAAGCTCGCAAAGTATAGAACATTTTCATGCTGCAGGACCAAGAAATAAGGAACCAAGATCAGTGTCCAGACATTTACCTCATAAAACCAGAAAGAGATATATGACCTTAAAACTCTACAGCAAAAGCCTAGGATGACATTAGTTATGAGCAATGCAACACCTTTATCTGACTTCTATCATTTAAAACATCTCCTTCTTTTCATTTCAGAAAAGTCAACTATATTCCAAAAGTTGAAGACAAAAAATACGAGAGTAAACACTTGTTTCCAGGTAAGATACTGTTAGTTTGGCCTTTAAGTATTTGTGAGATATCTCAGCAAGCTTCCATGATCAAATCTGACGTTTTCTTTATGCATTTAGAGACGAAATCTTCTTCAGATGTATTTTCTTTTTATAGTTCTCACTGTCACACCTTTCACATTCTCAGTCTTCAAAGAAAGTTTCAAACTACCTTGGGAATAATTTGAATGTTTCAGCATTGTTGCTCTTTCATGTTTTTTTGTTTTATTACACTGCCACCAACTGAATCCTTGTCCAACACAGTTCAATAATATTCAACCTAATTAAGGAGCGAATGATGTTCCATAGATGCTTTTTATATACATCAAAATACATCGAGAAATGTCAAAGGTCGCAACTGCTTAAGTCTGGATCAATTTCTTTTTGACTCAAAAAATCACCAACGTAAATGCCATCAACTTTTAGCTCATTGATAAGTTGGTCCTCCATGTATAAAAAAATGGACCAAGAACTGACACAATTTAACTGTAGCTTTTCGATGATCTAACATTTGCAGCCCAAGAGATCCATATGTGATTCAAGGTTTGGGAGCCTATTATATGCATCTGTGATGCTCTAGTTAGTAATTTATAAGAGATTAGAGCATGTGCCTTCCAACAAAGAGGTATCTAGCAACCATGAAGGCCAATGTTGCAATGTAAAGAACACAAGAATGAGATTGTTAATTCCCACTAAGAGAGTAGTACCACAAAATAAGACAGAGCCAGAAACTTTCAGTTCTTCTGCACGAACACATTTCATCTGCATGGTAGACATGACAAGTGATAACAGCAGCTCATATCCTTCAGGCGTCCATTTATCTCTAAATTAAATAAAAAGTATATTGCGGGTAGACCCCTTGTACCATCACCTAATTGCGGATAGACCCGTTGAGTGACTTTTTTTTGGATCTTTTACCCTCATGACATCTACTTGTTAAAAATAATTTTCTCTTTCTCTACGGGTAAAATAGTCAGAAAGTTCATTCAGGGTGTCTACCTGCAAGAAAAGAACTACAGAGGTTCTAACCGCAATTGGGCTATAGTAAGGGGGTCTATCAACCATTAATCCTAAAATAAAAGGAATAATGTAACTCAATATCCAAATAACCATATTTCGTTGTAATATTTCTCTTAGGGTAAAACACTATAAAAAAAGTTCATTCCGGAGGTCTTATTCCAAGTAAGCCAACACATTGAGAAATAATAAGTGAGTATGGCATATAAGTTCTGTATATTGTCCAAGAGAACAATAGTTTAGCCATTTGATTTGCAAAGCAAGACATAAACTTTAAGCAATCAAATGGCTTTTAACTTCACGACCCACATAGTCTGAACTGAATACAAGGCTTCAACTTGAGAGCATGGTCCTAGCAGGCTCTTTTCAGGAATGAGCATCAACCGTGTAACATATTAAAATACAAAGTTGGTGTCCATCTGAAACTAATTATTCTAACTATTCTTAAATTTGCTTGTTAGCTGGTCAAGGGTTGAAGAATTAGAATATAGATTAAGAGCTGTTGAAATATAACCATCAGAATGCATAAGCTTGGATGCATTATCTTTTATGAAAGTCAATCCGTTACTTCAACTACTTGGAATGTGCCACCATGTGCATCCAGTGACTTACCTATACTTTATTCTTGTTCCAGAATCCTCCCAACACTTGATAATACCATGAAGATGAATGAAATTGTTGAAGTTCCCTAACCACTTATAAGCAGTGAACGATGCCATATTGGTTGGTAAGCGGTAACACGAAGTTGCCACAGATTCTTGAGCTTGAAATTCTCTGTGAAAACCTGCAGCAAACAAGGATATAATTTAACAAATAATTTATTCCTCATATAATCAATTCTGGCACCATCCACCCTGTTCATCAATCAAATAAGAGGACCATTGAGAACAATCTTCAAACAAAGCTAACAATATCAATTATGATGTGAATAGGTTCCATATTTCCATATTCACATAAAGGATTCATATATGCAAGAGAGGTTTTTCTGATGAAAGGCTTAGACCATCTTTCTAGCATGTCAGTCTAGCGATATATTTTTTATTTGGATAAATAGCAGGTTTACATCATTCATTATTAATAATTGAATTAGACTCTTTATGAAGATTAATGCAAAAATTGAACACAACTTTCTTTAAGCTTGAGTGATGGTTCAAAGTTAATTGGACTCTTTATAGAAAATATATTTGATGACAAAAACTGTATCATACAAGTTGGGTGAAAGTTACATACTTTACCGAGAAAAACTTGTAGAGATGAACTTATTTTGAGTGACAAACTACCCTACTTTCACCTGCTTAACTTTCTAATCCATTTTTTATTGATTTCTTTAGTCTACAGTCATGAATTATTAGTTAAAAGCATTAAAAAAGTATCAGTTTTTTTGTTTATTCTATTTTTGTATTGTCAACTCAAGATTTCCTCTAAAGTGAAATACATCAAAGTAGATTTCCCATTTTAAGATGTCTTGAACTAGGAAACGTTTAATAAATTACTTAATAGCATGAACTCTGATTCCAAATACATAAACGATTCAACAAGTCTTTCAAACTCAATAAATTATTTTTACACTTGATTATCAAATAAATAAAATAGAATTAAGCACTTGAAAATTAGAAGCCAAAACATACACCAATCTATGAGTTTGAAGTGAGAAAAGAGAAATTAGTTTTATACTGAATCATCTCCTTACAGGAAATTGAGCCAAGATGTAGCTTCTTTACCTTTTGGCTGATACATTGAACTTATTACATAACACATAAAAAGAAAACAAGAACATTACGTATTCTTTATAACCCATGAAAGAAAATACAAACTGTATTGCAGGTCTTATGAGGAGGCGTGAGCATCCGGCTGCCTTTCAGGAAGAGCTGACTGGAACGCTGAAAGCTCAGAATATACTTCATTCAGTCTCACGAGGGTGGGGAAAGGAGACTGCAAGTAACAATGACAATTGTCAATCTTATTCGTAGAATAATGCACAGTAAAATATTGAAGTGCGAGAGAACTACCCAAAGAAATTACTATTGCTTTTACTAAATGAGATTACCATATCAATTTGAAATCTTTTTGTTGCTTTAAGGATCTGGGGAGCCAAGAAAACATCAGCCTGCTCATTAGAACCATTATATATCTGGTTAGTTTCCAATCATACCCAATTTATGCATACATTTGGCACTGATTATGAGAAAAGTAGGGTTGCACGAGTGAAGAAGAAAGAACCGAAATGAACAGCACGTAGAGCTAGGAGCCTAGGAGAAAAGATACAAGTTGGGCTTCATCTCCTGTTGCATAACTCCATGAAGAGCTCTTCAACAGATTTTCAATCGCTGAATCACAAGTAAATGGGGCAGTTCTAAGATGAAATAAAAGTGCGCCATAACCAATAATTATCACTTGTCAATTAGATCACCAAGAATATGCATAAATTGTTACATGCGACTTTGAATGAGAAATACAAATTGTATTTTGACCCACCAAACTTCATTGTTCCACCAACCCAAAACACTATTCCATCAATCCAAAACACTGTTCCACCAACCATTTTGAAGGCTATAAATAGAGGAGAGTGGTGAAGGGTTAGAGCATCGAACAGAGATCCAGAACAGAGAGAAAGAAAGAGAGAGTTGAAAAGAAAAAGAAAATTAGAGTTTTCTTTGAGTGTTCTCTTCTTTGTGTGAGTTTGGTGAGATATTAGAGTGATCTCCTTTTGTAATCTTCTCTTTTGTGATTAGTGAAGTTCTCTATTGTTCTCACCCATGGATGTACGTCATACTGACCAAACAACGTTAAATCCTTGTGTGTTGTTCTCTCTGTCTCTAGTGTGTTTATTCAGTGTCGTTATTATCCACTTTTGTATAGACATCTTCTGTGTCTGTATAGCCTCCCACCGCAACATAAATGAGTCATGGGTGAGCAAAGCGATATCATGATATATACATGAAGTAGCAAAAGAAAATAGAAGGCTCAAAATGATGAGGGTCTTATGTTGTTTCTTAATATTTCAGTAGGAGGGTATAATGAAGGTTGCATGTTGCAAGATCTCTTCTCAACATGTAATCATAGTTACCTAGATTTTTTCGTATCAGTGCATAATTTGAATTGAAACTCANNNNGGGGGGGGGGAGGAAGAAAAGGATGGAGACTTTACATTGTTCACAATTTGCCTACGTCCATGGACACATTATGGTTTCTTTCTTTCTTTCTAATAAAGTTACAATTACGAGAGAGAGAGAGAAAGAGAGAGAGAGAGCCCATATATACATAGAGACTAGGGCTACAGGCAACATGTAAAAATTATGAATAGGTTGTGGAGTGGTGGGGCCAACCCACGTGCTCGTGAAAGCCGCGTGAAGAGTTCACGTGTGAAGAGATTTGGCGTACAGGCCCACCCGAATATTGTTGAAGCTATAAATATAGCTTTTTTGTGCCCTAGTTTGTGCGTGAAAGGCAGAAGAAAGAATCAGCCGTCGACGTGTGCAAGTGTGCAGGCAGAGGGTGTCTGCTGATTTTTGAGCAGCCCCTTTTAGGGTTTTGAACAACCATCGGAGGAGATATTTGTGTGAGATTTGAGAGTTTGTTTGAGGGTTTAAGTTGTGTGATTGTAAACCCTATTTGTATTCTCTCCCTCTAATAGTAGATCCTCCCTCCTTGCCCCGTGAACGTAGGCAATTTGTCGAACCACGTAAAATTGATTGTCTCGTTGTTTGTGTAATTTGTAATAGCTTATTTAGGTTCTCTCGACAGGTCAGTCCTAGAACTGATGAGAGGGAGAACTGATATCCCACTTTGTTGAGATATTTTATTTATGGTTCTTATTTCCTTGGTAAAACGAGAATTCTTATTGTGACCTGACTCTCTTGTTGTGCTGCTGAGGTTCTGTCGAAATTTTCGCTACGCACAACAAGTGGTATCAGAACTTAGATTTCAGATCTAGGGTTTTGGAATTAGGTGGAGGAAGATTCTTGTATGAAGCTTGGTTCTTGGAGTTCTAGGCTTCGGTAGAGATAGCATTAGGAGTTATCGTTGGAGATTTCGCTTTCCTCGTGTGGACATGAGATCTATTTGGAATCCGATCTAGGGTTCAGTTGGGTTATTCTTAATTTCTATCAAAGTTTGATTCTTTCTCTACAACTTGAAGTTAGTTTGCAATGGGAGAAGAAGGTGAAAACAGCAAGTCGATGGCGAGTACAGTTTAAGGTGGTTTTCAGAATACCAAAATTAGTGTGGTGAAGTATGACGGTAAAATCAACTTTGGTTTGTGGATGAGCGACGTACAGGATGCGCTTCATGCTTAGAACTTGGAAGAGACCATCATGGTCCATGAAAGACCATCAAAGTATGAAGAGGCGATATGGGAAAAGATGAATAGGAACGCTTGTGATGTAATCATGTCTTGTTTGGAACAAGAGCTGAAGTATGATGTGATTGGGATGACGTCTGCAATGAAGATGTGAGAAATTCTCAACAATAAATACCTTACGAAGAGTGTTGAGAACCGGTTGCACTTGTTGCGTAGTTTATTCAGATTTCAGATGTCCAGAGACACCTCACTTGCGGCTCATGTGAACTATATGAAGTTGTTGTCGGAGTTGGCGAATGTTGATGAGAAGATATCGGATGAGTACAAGGCTATTATCTTATTGGGCTTATCGGATGAGGAGTATGACACATTTGTGCTCACTTTGTTAAACGAGAGATCTTCTATCAGCTATAGTGAAGTTACTGTTGAGAGATAATATGTAATATGGATTAGTGGTTTAGTCCCACATCGGTTGTAACACCAGGCTTGTATCCTTTTGAAACTATATATAGACTAGAGTATGAGACCCTAATCTCATAACTCTTTTCTCTCCAAAACTCTACTTATAAGATTAACATGGTATCAGAGCCACGTTTAAAAAAA